ACTGGTGTTTAGGTCGTATCTATCCATCTATGGCACAGGTGCACAGTCATCAAGACCATAAATAATAGCATAGCTGGCTTTGAAACTACTGATTCCAGGAAGAAAAACAGCCAAGAGAAGAGGTCCTGCTTATAAAGAGAGCTATAAAAGAAGTTGTTGGCATGCTGGCATGTTCTTCGAAAAATCCGAAAGAATTTTTTGTACTCCAGTTGTTTGCTGAGAATAAAAATGTCTCAAAAGAGTTTTGACTTCTTCATCTGGCCCCAGTCCTGAATTATTTTCCTGACAAGACATTATTTATTTTTTCATGTCTGTAACAATACACTTTTCAAAAAATATAATATAACTACTTTGGAGGTATTGGAATATTTTTTCTCTTTCGATGAAGCTAGGCTAGCAGTTTCCCCCTGCTTCCAGTCTTTGTGCTAAGCTAGGCGCAACATGCCGTTGAGCGTAGGTGGAGGGTATAAAAATATATTTGTCAGACTGACAGACAGTTCTTTTAACATGCAGAGATCTGTCCAAACTACATCAATTATTACCAACAGGCAATTATTATGTTTGTTCCTGGATATGGAGACCTCCTGCAGTAAGATATCCTTTTTTATCTTCAACCAGTGTTTCTGTTCTGCAAAGGGAAAAGGCTTCCTACCTGTGTGATTGTTCATAACACTTATATCCACCATTAACCAAAAATACTTCCTCTATCAGACTGACTGTCTGTGGCTGCAGAAGGCACCTTCATACCTGAGAGTGTCCAGTCTCCAGTGTGGATCCTCCAGTCCAGCAGACAGCAGCCTCACTCCCGAGTCTCCTGGATGATTGTAGCTCAGGTCCAGCTCTCTCAGATGGGATGGGTTGGAGCTCAGAGCTGAGGCCAGAGAAACACAGCCTTTCTCTGTGATCTGACAGCCTGACAGCCTGCAAACACACAAAGCAACACACACAGGAATCCTCTGTAAACAAGAGTGTTTTTGTTTATTAGTTTTTTCTTCAGGTGCATTTTAGTTAAGATTTAAATTTACCACAAATATTTAAAATTATTAGTGGCATTTGATATAATGTTTAATACAACAAAAGAACAAAACAGAAAATAATGAAACATCTTAATAGAAGGTAACAACTGTCAAAGTGTAAAGGTCCTTGAAAATCATGTAAGCAGACACAATTCTACAAAGGTAACAAGTTAAGATAAGATTTTGGTAGCACTTTATAATAACTACACACTATAAAGCATTAGTTAAGCACTAGTAAATAAGGAATTCATCATTTATAAAGCATTATGCATACATTAATACACATTAGTAAGTCATTTATAAACATAGTTATACATGTTGTATTCTTTATTAATAAGCTAATTTTCTTAGTTTATATATGATCGGTTCACTATTTATAGAAGTATTATTTTGATGACAAACCATTTATGTATGAGTTGTTAATGGTTCATAAGATCATTTGGAAAGTTTAAGAAAATTATTACATAACTGCCTGTTTTTTTATACTTTCCCACGAAAGAATATAAACAATCTCAGCATAACTCATAAATCTACCAGTGGCAAAGCCCAAAGGATGCTACTAAGACTACCCTAAAGATGCCCCAGCTAACTTTACAGGGTAAAAACCTCACCGTTACAGGCCTGGTACTGTTTCTCTGAACTTCTCATCAAAACTCCAAGATCTGCGCTTCCAGAGATCTGCTGTGATTGGACCAGCAAAGGGTTGCTTGGATGGTCTGTTGAAAGACACCAATCTTACTCCCCCCCAGTGCTTTGATCAACCGCGAACTTGACATGACATGTAGTTATTTAGAAATGGTCTAATAGTGGGTGTTCATAGATGTTTTATGACACTTAATAATACTGCAATTCATGATTAATTCTGGTAGGTACTAATGGTTAGGTCAGTATTTTGCGTGAGCTCATTAACAATTTACAAATGAAATTAAAAGGCAATAGATGTTCTCTAAACATTTGTTAATAAAGTATTTCATGATTAATTCAAGTAGTTACAAAGCATTCACTAGTTGTTAAGTACTTTGTGTGAGCTCATCTAAAGTGAGGACTATCTATGCCTTACAAAGCATTTACAAATGATATTGTAACACAAGAATCAGTTTTCTAATGAACAGAAAAAGGAAACGGACATAACACAAAGGGATACAGAACATATTATTTATTACAAAATACCTTTCACCCATTCATTCACAAAAAAACACAACAACACGCGAGACTATTGCTGCATAAACTGTACAACTGTTCTTATAAAATCAACCATCTACAACCCAACCCGTTCTCACTCCCAAGTTTTCACATATGGACGAATGGCCAAGACCCCTTGTTGTCACTCTATAACACACTTGGGAGCCCCTTAGCGACATAGTTCAACGTACTGGGGAAAGCCCTGTAACACAGTTTTTGAATGCTAAAGACAGGTCTACAATATTTAACACTAGTGTAGAACTTTAGCTAACTTACCAACCTAGGTTCTGAGAAGTAGTGTTGGGGTAAGAAATAGACTGTGTGTGATTGAAGAACAATGGGCAGGTAGTGCACCAACCATGTTTGAAACAATCCCCAGAATAAAAAGAGCTCTTTCATAAAAATTACAATTTTAAAAAAGTGTCCAGTGTCTTTCAGTTATTTGTATCTCTACTTGGGCAGGAAAGTGAACGTGTGGTGGATTTTTCTTATCTGCCAGAGTCCTGTAATCTGATGTGTCAGTCCTGTTGAATGGGACCCGATGCAGCTGTCCACACCGCGGTCTGATCTCATCATACAGGGTGCATCATCTCTGGGACTCGCTCGCCATCTGCATCCAGAGAAGAGTAGATCTCTAAGCTACAATCCAGGGTCTCAAAAACCAGTCTGCACGTATAGTGCAGAATAAATCAGATAAATCATCACAGTCAATGTTCTTCAAATAAGATCTCATGTAGTTTGTCAAAACTCAATATCATCACCCTGTTGTCTAGGGACTCTTCTTAAGTTTTACATTGTTATAACGTTACCAAAGATTTATAACTTTACCAGCATTTAAGCATCAAGCATCACAACTATGAATTGATTAAATTTCAACCAAAAAAACTGAACAGAGTTTACACATTTTAGAGAAGGAAATTATCTTTAACATGTATTATCATAAATACTGTAAATAAAAATACCTCTGAAGGTACTACATGTGCTTACACATCCAAAAGTAACTCCAGAGATTAGTTTGAAACCACGACACAACAAAATACTGAACAGTTCACGACATTGTGTTCACAACATCCTCCGACTGCTTTAACTTACAGTAATATGGTTTTAACTCACCCATTTAAGCTGCATCACGCTGCACTTTTAATGTTAGCCCTGTCCTAAAGGTTACAAACGTTACTCACCAGAGTTTCGACAGGGAAAAAAATGGCATCATTCCTGCTGACGGCAAAAATCCCGAGCCATGGTGTCTCTACACTGAAGACCCGCTTCTGGGCCCGTGTGATCTGGTTTGGTTCCGCTTCTCTCTGTTCTTCGTCGATGCGATCTGGCGCTAAAGTGAGCGCACACGGTAGAGACTACTGGATGCATCAAGGGTCAAAATAGCGCTGCTTTAAGGCCCCTATTTTTTTATGTGGGCTACAGTCTATGGTAAGGAGTAGCCATGGTTGAGAAGGGCAGCTTGACCAGAAACCATACTTTCACTCTTTTCCTGTGTTAAACACAAAGTCAATATTGAGTTTTTTTCTTCGGTTGTGTAGGGAACACAAGTAATATTCTGTTTCAAAAAGTTATTCACTAGTTTTATTTTGAAAGCGTAACCGGACGTGACATATTTATTGTTGCTAACTTGACCACTGAGACGTCCAAAAACGACACTAAAGGGGTGTTAACCTTATATACAGTCTATGGTGTTAACCCAGGCCGTAATAAAGCTAAGAACCATAGGCGCATATAAATAGTTTTTCATTGGAATAACACTTTTTATCAAATACAATCATTAAGCACATCATTGATGAGCTGGTAGTGATAGATGATTTGTCTCAGTTATCTGGGGCATCTTCCGGGTAGTCTTAGTAGCATCCTTTGGGCTTTGTCACTGGTAGATTTAGTAATTGTGGAGTCTGATGGCAGATGGCACAATGGAACCTCTGTGAGGTGTGGGGAGGCTCATTTGAGCCATCTGGTGTTAGATTTTTATCCACCAATGTAAATCTGATTGTAAATGTTCTCATCAACTCATTTGGTTTATGAATCCTCACCTAAGAGTTTCTAGTATACAGTGTGGACTCTCCAGTCCAGCATACAGCAGCTTCACTCCAGAATCATGCAGGTTGTTGTTACTCAGGTCCAGCTCTCTCAGACTGGAGGACTGGGAGCTGAGAACTGAGGACAGAGCTTCACAGCTTCTCTCTGAGAGGTTACAGCCACTCAGTCTGAAAAGGAAATAATGAACAAGAAGACAAATAACATTTGTGTTAAAACCATTGCTCTTTTACTCTAAACTTGTTGTAGATATGTCAATTACATGACTGAATGAGTAATAAAATACATGCAATGATAATAAGTCACATACTATTAAAAAGGTTACAGTCACTGAGTCTGGAGAGGAAATAATAAACAAGAAGACAGACAACATTTGTAATAAAATATTAAATCGTTGAATTTGGACTTTTGCTGATACAGTGTGTTTAGAAGGTCTTCTTGGCATGTATTAAAATCATTGCTCTATTACTCTAAACCTGTTGTAGATTTGACATTAATCATGACTGAATCAGTAATAAACATAATGATAATAAGTTAAACGTAAATGAGGATTTTCAGCTCTGCCAGAGTTAATTTTCAAGCAGTACAAAATGAGAATCTGATTTATAACAAATTACATTTGAAAATGTCAAAGATTTTGTACACTGTGAAATGAGAGAGGCTGTTTCAATTAATGGTGCTTGATATTTAGAATTTTTTTGTTAAGTAGAACTTGATCTGACTTCAGGGTTTCCAGTGTACAGTGTGGACTCTCCAGTCCAGCATACAGCAGCTTCACTCCTGAATCCTGGAGGTGTTGTTACTCAGGTCCAGCTCTCTCAGACTAGAGGACTTGGAGTTGAAAACTGAGGACAGAGCTTCACAGCTTCTCTCTGTGAGGTTACAGCCACTCAGTCTGAAAAGGAAATAATGAACAAGAAGACAAACAACATTTGTGTTAAAACCATTACTCTTTTACTCTAAACTTGTTGTAGATATGTCAATTAACTACATTATACTATTAAAAATAAATGAGGATTTACATCTCAGTTAGAGTTCATATTTAATGCTGTACAATACGTGAATCTGAATTATAACAAAATACATTTGAAAATATCAAATATTTTCTGCACTGTGAAATGAGAGAGGCTGTTTAAATTAATGGTGCTTTATATTAAGAGAAATAAATAAATATTTAAACACAAACTGTAACTTGATCTGACCTCAGGGTTTCCAGTGAACAGTGTGGATTCTCCAGTCCGCCATACAGTAGCATTACTCCTGAATCCTGCAGGTTGTTGTTACTCAGGTCCAGCTCTCTCAGACTGGAGGACTGGGAGCTGAGAACTGAGGACAGAGCTTCACAGCTTCTCTCTGAGAGGTTACAGCCACTCATTCTGGAGGGGAAATAATAAACAAGGAGAAAAATATTATTTGTTAAGTCTGGGATTATGGTGACACTGTATATAATCTCTTTTTTGCTGATTGACTTTAAAATGTTGTGGCAATTATTCATGGCTGAATCAGGATAAAACAGACAACCGTAATTAAATAACATTATATTGAAGGGTAAATAAGGTTCTCAATTTCTGTTTATATATTTGTGCTGAACAATATGTGAATGTCAAGTAGAACAAACACAGGCCAAACATGATCACAGCTTCTCTCTGTGAGGTTTCACAGACTCAGTCAGGAGAGACAACCAGAAGGAAACACGTAATTATGCATAGATTTTTTTCTCCAGTTCAAAGATAGCACAGTATTTATTGATGAATAAATCCCCCTTACAGAGCTTTCTTGGAGGCTTTGACCACTGGCAGCAGCCTCAGAAGTTCTTCATCTGAAGCACAGTAATTGTATTTCTTCAGGTCAAACACGTCCAGATCTTTTTCTGATGACAGTAAGATGAAGACCAGAGCTGACCACAGTGCAGGAGAGAGTTTATATCTGTGGATACTTCCTGAACTCAGGAACTGTTGGATCTTCTCCACTAGAGCATGATCATTCAGTTCATTCAGACAGTGGAACAGATTGATGCTTTTCTCTGTAGAGGGAGTCTCTTCGATCTTTTTTTGATATACTCGACCGTTACCTGATTAGTTTCTGAGCAAATACCTTTCTGTGTCAGCAGGCCTCGGAGAGTCTGATTGGTCTGCAGTGAAAGTCCCAGGAGGAAGCGGAGGAACAAGTCCAGGTGTCCATTTGGACTCTGTAAAGCCTTGTCAACAGCACTCTGGTAAAACTGCATCCCTACAGATTCAACTTTTCTTATTTCAGACTTCTGGGAGGTTGTTTGTTCTTCTGCCAGCAGGTTGACACCAGAGTTGATGAAGGTCAGATGGACATGAAGAGCAGCCAGAAACTCCTGAACACTCAGATGGACGAAGCAGAACCCTTGTCCTGGTACAGCCCTCTCTCCTCTTTAAAGATCTGTGTGAACACTCCTGAGTACACTGAGGCTGCTCTGATATCGATGCCACAATCTGTCAGGTCTGATTCATAGAAGATCAGGTTTCCTTTCTGCAGCTGCTCAAAAGCCAGTTTTCCCAGAGACTCAATCATCTTCCTGCTCTCTAGATTCCAGTGTGGATCTGTCTCTGCTCCTCTATTATACTTGACGTTTTTCAGTTTAGACTGAACCACCAGGAAGTGGATGTACATCTCAGTCAGGGTCTTGGGCAGCTCTCCTCCCTCTCTGGTCTTCACACCTCCCAAAACTGTACAGTGATCCAGCAGAAGACTGGGATGTGGCACATGATGTGGAGGCTTCGTGATGTCTTGATGTGGGAGATGATGCTGCTGGCCTGCTCCTCATCTCTGAACCTCTTCCTGAAGTACTCCTCCTTCTGTGGGTCAGTGAACCCTCTGACCTCTGTCACCATGTCAACACATTCAGGAGGGATCTGATTGGCTGCTGCAGGTCGTGTGGTTATCCAGAGGCGAGCAGAGGGAAGCAGGTTCCCCCTGATGAGGTTTGTCAGCCACATCCACTGAGGTGGACTCCGTAACGTCAGTCAGGACCTCATTGTTGTGGAAGTCCAGAGGAAGTCGACACTCATCCAGACCGTCAAAGATGAAGACAACCTGGAACTCTTCAAACTGCAGATTCCTGCTTCTTTGGTTTCAGTAAAGAAGCAATGAACAAGTTCCATCAAGCTGTACTTTTTCTCTTTCAGCGCATTCAGCTCTCTGAAAGTGAATGGAAATGTGAACTGTATGTCCTGGTTGGCTTTGTCTTCAGCCCAGTCCAGAGTGAACTTCTGTGTTAAGACTGTTTTCCCAATGCCAGCCACTCCCTTTGTCATCACTGTTCTGATTGGTTCATCTCTTCCAGGTGAGCCTTTAAAGATGTCTTCTTGTCTGATGGATGTTTCTGGTCTGGCTGGTTTCCTGGATGCTGTTTCAATCTGTCTGACCTCATGTTCATCATTGACCTCTGCAGTCCCTCCCTCTGTGATGTAGAGCTCTGTGTAGATCTGGTTCAGAAGGGTTGGTTTCCTGCTTTTGCAATCCCCTCAGAAACACACTGGAACTTCTTCTTCAGTTTAGATTTAAGTTTACGCTGACAAACTGCATCAGGAGTTCCTGAATGAACACACAACAAATATCATCAGGGTTGTCTGTGTTTCAATATTATCTGCCCCAAAATATGCCTCCCCTTCAGCCTAAAGCCAGAGAAGGGTGCTGCCTCTGATTCTCTACATGCTCAGTGTTTTTTGCAGAGTTCATCCAAAAGAAATTGAAGAACCTTTATTACAGAATGACTGAATACATATAGTATTCGTACATAGTGGTCTAAGAATGACAAAAGTAGTGACAGTAAAGGTCTACAGTACATTCATTTAGACATTTATGACAATGTTAGCT